CATGTCCAACACACCCACTAAGATGACATGACGAAGAGCAGGGGAAGAAGCCCACCCCGCCAGCTCTGAACCCCCCCCAAAGGGGAAGAAGCCGTCCACCGACGCCACCAGAGGCCGGACGACAACCAAAGGCGCCCACCAAAAGCCGGACCATGCGAGAGTCAACAGAGCAAGCTGCTCCCCCAGCGCCCCGTCAACAGAGAAGGGAACAGAACCCCTTCCAAAAGAAAAAGAACAAACACATATACACATTATGTATATACACATACATATACATATACACATACACACAAGGTATGGTACACACACATGTGTATACACATGTGCACACACACACAAGCAGAAGAGAAGCAGATAAAAGTTTTGAAAATGATATAGCAAACAAAGCCAAGACCGAACCAAAGCTACTCCACAGTCACATCAGAAGGAAAACAACAGCGAAAGAACAGGTATTGAAACTTCGAACAGGCGAGGACGGGTATACTGAGAATGACAGAGAGGTGTGTGAAGAACTCAACAAGAGGTTCCAGGAGGTCTTCACAATAGAACAAGGTGAGGTCACTGTGCTAGGAGAAAGGGAGGTAAACCAGGTGGCCTTGGAAGAGTTCGAAATTACGAGAGAGGAGGTCAAGAGACACCTGCTGGATCTGGATGTTTGAAAGGCTGTTGGTCCAGATGGGATCTCACCATGGATACTGAAAGAGTGTGCAGAGGCACTTTGCTTGCCACTCTCAATAGTGTATAGTAAGTCACTGGAGACGGGAGACCTACCAGAAATATGGAAGACGGCGAATGTGGTCCCAATATACAAAAAGGGCGACAGGCAAGAGGCACTGAACTACAGGTCAGTGTCCTTGACTTGTATACCATGCAAGGTGATGGAGAAGATCGTGAGAAAAAACCTGGTAACATCTGGAGAGAAGGGACTTCGTGACAAAACGCCAACATGGGTTCAGGGAGGGTAAATCTTGCCTTACAGGCTTGATAGAATGCTACGATCAGGTGACAAAGATTAAGCAAGAAAGAGAGGGCTGGGCGGACTGCATTTTCTTGGATTGTTGGAAAGCCTTTGACACAGTACCGCATAAGAGGCTGGTACATAAGCTGGAGAGACAGGCAGGTGTAGCTGGTAAGTTGCTCCAGTGGATAAGGGAGTATCTAAGCAATAGGAAGCAGAGAGTTACGGTGAGGGGTGAGACCTCCGATTGGCGTGAAGTCACCAGTGGAGTCCCACAGGGCTCTGTACTCGGTCCTATTTTGTTTCTGATATATGTAAATGATCTCCCGGAGGGTATCGATTCATTTCTCTCAATGTTTGCGGACGATGCTAAAATTATGAGAAGGATTAAAACAGAAGAGGACTGTTTGAGGCTTCAAGAAGACCTAGACAAGCTGAAGGAATGGTCGAACAAATGGTTGTTAGAGTTTAACCCAACCAAATGTAATGTAATAAAGATAGGTGTAGGGAGCAGGAGGCCAGATACAAGGTATCATCTGGGAGAGGAAATTCTTCAGAAGTCAGAGAAGGAAAAAGACTTGGGGGTTGATATCACGCCAGACCTGTCTCCTGCAGCACATATCAAGCGGATAACATCAGCGGCATATGCCAGGCTGGCCAACATACGAACGGCATTCAGAAACTTGTGTAAAGAATCATTCAGAACTTTGTATATCACATATGTCAGGCTAATCCTGGAGTATGCAGCCCCAGCATGGAGTCCATATCTAGTCAAGGATAAGACTAAACTGGAAAAGGTTCAAAAAGGTTTGCCACCAGACTAGTACCCGAGCTGAGAGGTATGAGCTACGAGGAGAGACTACGGGAATTAAACCTCACTTCGCTGGAAGACAGAAGAGTTAGGGGGGACATGATCACCACATTCAAGATTCTGAAGGAAATTGATAGGGTAGATAAAGACAGTCTATTTAACACAAGGGGAACACGCACAAGGGGACACAGGTGGAAACTGAGTGCCCAAATGAGCCACAGAGATATTAGAAAGAACTTTTTAGTGTCAGAGTGGTTGACAAATGGAATGCATTAGGAAGTGATGTGGTGGAGGCTGACTCCATACACAGTTTCAAGTGTAGATATGATAGAACCCAATAGGCTCAGGAATCTGTACACCTGTTGATTGACGATTGAGAGGCGGGACCAAAGAGCCAGAGCTCAACCCCCGCAAACACATCTAGGTGAGTACACAGCGTACACATGTACACACACACATACATTTTAAAAGAAAATTACTAGTCGCCGACCAGTGGGCAGAGAGCACCTACCTGGTACCTGGTACCTACCTGATGCCTGGCACCATGCCGGCCAGGCAAAGAAGGCACAAAAACTGCATCAAAAGGCCCACCTCGACAACAAAACCTCAAAGTCCCAGCACAACCACAACATGTGCCAAGACCCAAAAAGATCAGTCTGCAAGCCAGGAAGACCCCGGAACTCCAGAAGGCAGAACCGGGTCACACGAGGAAACAAAGCCCCCCTAAACCCACAAAGGGAGTCCAAGAGGAAGAAACCTCCGGAACGAAACCAAAAAACCCAAAGGAACCCAGAATCGAACCAGGTGGAGCCCAAACCACCACATTTGCCGGCGAAGAACACCACAGAAGGCAAAGCACAGCCCCCAGACAGAACCCCCAGGGAAACGGTCATAACAGACCGAAAACCGAGGGACAAGGTGTGGGAGCAAGCATAACAGCCAGGGACACTGAGCCCAAACCCAAGGGCCCCAGACCCAAAACAGACAAAAAGGGAAACCCGGTGTAAAATCAACACCCAAATGTTCCCAGAGGAACAGGAAACAGGCAGAAAACACCAGAAAAGCAAAGAAACGACAATAGGAGAATAAAACCCCTGAAAAAAAGGTGAAAACTCACCCAAGAAGCTCGCTCGCACACCCAGGCGCATGTAAACAAACCGCAATGCCGCCCTGGTAGCCACACCGGGAAACCGGCAGACGAAAATGGCTGCCAGACAGAGGGCTGTGACCGACACTAAGATACGAAAACACGCCAGCAAAAGTGGGAAGCAAGTAGACTGGATGGGCGAAAAACTCCGCCCAAAAGCAGAAAACCCAGGCAGGGGCAAACCGCCCCAGAACTGCTAGTAGGCATCCCCTACAGCCCCGGGAACCAGCAACAGAGGCCCCGGGGCCTCTGATGCTGGTTGATGCTACACGGATGCTGCCTGTACTCTGAACAGTAATAACATCAAGAGAGTACTGGAGAACAAGCAGAGAATCTCTCGCAAGACTCCGGGTCAAGGTGTCAGTGACCCAACAGGCAGCATGACGGAGGTAAAAGTGGTGACTGTCATCCGGAGACAAGGGCACAGCAACTAACGATCCCGTACAAGATGGGTTGGAACCCGGACGACACATTCAATGGTCCACCGAGCCCAGACAGGGGTTTCCAGGGCCCGTAGGCTGACTGCTACAGGAAGCCCGGGCAAGGTGTTGCTAACCGGTTAGAAACCCAAACATAACAAGAGAGTAGAGGATAGCACTGAAAACCCCTGCAACTTGTATAATCGTGGGGGCCTAGCAGAGGGCTGCCAAACACTACCAGTGGAACTATAGCCACACTGGGCAGACCCTCACCAGGCATGAAAATAAAAACAAAAGAAAAACCCCGCAAAAGTACACCGTCTCCAGAGGCAACAGGAACCGGTCGCTGCTTAGGTGGCAGGCTGTGCAACACCTTGACGCCCTGACCAGCACAATACCAATCCCTACCCAGGGCTAAACAAGGGCCCCAAGCCCCAGCTGGCCCCACGGGCGAGGCAAATGCCGAGCAGCAAGAACCTTTACGGGAATGGTTCCCGAATGCCTCAGGGAAGATAACCCTGTTACGCAAGGGCAGTACTCACAGGGCGCTTAGGGAAGTCAGCCACTAAGTTCATGCAGCCCCGGCACTGATGAGGTACTCCTGGCCACCGCACAACACATCACACAGCACTAAACGCCACACAAGGCAAACACCGCCTAGGAAACTGAGGCCAGAGAAGCATCTATCCCGGTTGACATTAGCTTACGAACTGAAGCTTGGCAGCCGCCGCGGTAGGTCCGGGGCTCCTCCCTTCCCCTCTCGGGGCGGGGAGGGCTGCGCAGACGATCGGCGCGGCAGTAAAGTGTGATGTTTGCTTGTTTGCTTGTTTTCTTGGGATTGTAGGGAGTTTCTACCTCTCTGTTCATTTTTTTGTTTTAGTGTTTTACCATGTGGGGTTTGTTTTGTTATGCTTACCATTCTGGGTGCCTAACCAGGGTCGATGGCAGATAAGGAAAACCCCAACCACAAAGGGGTTTTCCAGGGCCACTGCTCCCTGAAACCTCTCTGAAGGGGCCAGGTTCTGGCGCTGGTCCCTGGTAGGTCTGAACCCTTTAGCTAATGTCCCGGTCTAATATAACATACATTAGCCCGATAAGCTCCAGGGAGTCGTAGGGGCTCCCCACAGAAAATATAAGAAAATTCACTTTCACAAACAGTGGTAGACGGTTGGAACAAGTTAAGTGAGAAGGTGATGGAAGCCAAAACCATCAGTAGTTTCAGAGCATTATATGACAAAGAGAGCTGGGAAGACAGGACACCACAAGAGTAGCTCTCATCCTGTAACTACACTTAGGTAATTACATATAAAAAGGATAAGCAGCTTTTAGTATTTTTTAATGGCAACAATGTTTCATAACTTTTCTCATTTATTTTTATGAAATTACCATCACCATTATGAGACAAAATTAATTTTCCCGTCAACTGAATTTCTCAACATTGCCAGCGACATCACCTATAGGTGACATTTTTATCTTGTGTTGCATAAACTATTGCATGTCACTGGTGTTTTAATCCTTAAAACAAATTCTAGATGTATGATGACTTTTACAGTGCTAACTCAACAAACAGAAATGCAAAATGGCCTGATGAAAACTGAATACAATGAGGTTCATTCGTAGCAATGAATGAATTAAAATAAATACACGAATTAAATAACAATTTACCCGATAGTAAGGAAGCCTGTTGTAAGCATGCCTTCATCACATGTTTCAAGGCTCTTGATGAATTGTTCATTTGCATAACAGCTCCAGTGAGAGCATCCTGGATATCCTGAGGGAAGCTGAGAGGGCCAACAGAGCCATCCTGCGGCATGCGTCGGCGGATCCTACGCACAGCTCCCTGGATTTCTTTACTGGCAGCACTGATATCTTTACATAACATTGCTACCTCACAAGTTTCATGCTGAGGCTGTAGAATATACATTAATGTGTGTTACACAATACAAACTTTAATAATTTAATGGTACAAATTTTTTATTTTTTTTTTTACTAGATTTATTTTATTGTCAAGGAGGCAATCTCAGTCCCCATGGAACTCAAGTACAATATTACAAATATTCGTCAAAACAACATGCCACTAACAGCCTCATGCTGGGATGTGCCATTCTCTAGAACATCACTTGATTAGTCATCACTTACTCCAAGGTGGACATGCATTTAGAACATGTTCACTCAACACACACACACACACACACACACACACACATACACACACACACACACACACACACACACACACATATATATATATATGTCGTACCTAGTAGCCAGAACGCACTTTTTGGCCTACTATGCAAGGCCTGATTTGCCTAATAAGCCAAGTTTTCCTGAAATAATATATTTTCTCTAATTTTTTCTTATGAAATGATAAAGTTACCAATTTCATTATGTATGAGGTCAATTTTTTTTTATTGGAGTTAAATTTAACGTAGATATATGACCGAACCTAACCAACCCTACCTAACCTAACCTAACCTATCTTTATAGGTTAGGTTAGGTTAGGTAGCCGAAAAAGTTAGGTTAGGTTAGGTTAGGTAGGTTAGGTTGTCGAAAAACAATTAATTCGTGAAAACTTGGCTTATTAGGCAAATCGGGCCTTGCATAGTAGGCTGAGAAGTGCGTTCTGGCTACTAGGTACGACATACATAATATATATATATATATATATATATATATATATATATATATATCCTCCTTATCAGCATCCGACGACCTTGTGAAGGAAATTCTACCTGCCCATTTACATCAGCTGGCAGGTGTACATGATCCCAATTTTACACGCTGTGCCACAGAGTGGGCCTCTCGTGCAGGCCAATCACCTCAACCACCATCCCCAAAAGCCAACAAGCAATCCAGCTGGGATGGCCCCATTGTAGACCAAGTTGCTGCAGAGTGCCTGGGTGCTGCAACAACACAACACGACATTGCTCTCCTCACAGCAGTAGCAGCATCACATGCAGGGGATTTCCTGTTAGGAACCCCATTGTCGGCAACTGGCATGCGTCTCACACCACACGCCCTCCGAATTGCTGTGGCCCTCCGCCTTGCTGCCCCTATCCACACCAGATATAGGTGTATTTGCGGCGAGGTGGTGGCTGACAGGTACGGCCACCATGGCCTACTCTGCCAAAGCACAGGGGGATGGCACTCGAGGCACAGTGAAGTTAAAGACATCATCAAGAGGAGCCTCACCACAGCTGGATGCCCAGCTGAAAGAGAGCCCCGTTACCTAACGCCCCGTAACTCTGATGCTCTTATTGGTCGCCCGGATGGTATCACAGTGAACCCCTGGAAGAATGGCAAGCAGTTGGTATGGGACTACACATGCGTATCAACCCTTGTTAACACCTACATTAACCTCAGTGTTGCACAACCAGGTCGTGCTGCCACCCACAGGGAAGCAGCCAAATCCCGTAAGTATAGAGAACTGGATCACCACTACAATTTTGTCCCCATTGCTTCTGAGACGCTCGGCGCCTGGGGTAAAAGTGCTACCAGTTTTTTGAAGGAACTGGGTTCTAGGCTCATTGAAACAACAAGGGACCCGAGAGCTGCAAGCTTTCTTTTCCAGCGCCTCAGTGTGGCGATACAGAGGGGAAATGCGCACTGCATCCAGGGTTCCTGCCCGCCATCTGAGGAGCTGGAGGAACTCGACAACCTATGACAACCATCTTTGTAACCCATATGTAACTCCCTTTTTTGTAACAAAGTTCAAATAAAGTAAAAAAAAAAAATATATATATATATATATATATATATATATATATATATATATATATATATATATATATATATATATATATATATATATATATATATATATATATATATATATATATATATATATATATATATATATATATATATATATATATATATATATATATATATATATATATATATATATATATATATATATATATATATATATATATATATATATATATATATATATATATATATATATATATATATATATATATATATATATATATATATATATATATATATATATATATATATATATATATATATATATACATACAACAAATCCAGTCAACCGAACATGTGAAGGCTCTGCCACACAATTGGATGACAGACAAACGTCATTCTGTTACTAACATTTTTACAACTTAGCAGTAAGTAAAGTTCATTCCTAGTAGAAACAAATATGATATTAAAAAATATTGAGTTTCTAGCCTTATGTATGATATCTACTCTTAGCTTGCAGCTTGTTAGGAACATAACAGTTAAAAAAAAAAGAGAGCTAATTTAATTCATATGTTTAGTTAAGAAAGTAATTTATTCTAGTTTTAGAGTGATGGCATAACTTTAGGGTATGCTATAGCATCGGAGTCTTCTTGCATGGATTCTGTTCAAAATTCACACTGCATTTTATAACCATGAACTTGGGCAAATACAGTACACTTATTACCAACAGAATACATAACCCAATATTCTGGTAATCAATCAGCTGCCCTCCTTTTCCCTACCCCACCTGTGACTCACAGGAAGAACTCACATGAAGAACAGTGATGATAGTGGCACTGAAGGTGGAAGTGGCATCAGTGGCAGATGACAACACTCTGGCAACATCACTGAGGTAGAGGGTTTGGTCCATTTTCTCTGAGGCAAGATGAGCCGGGTACATTGAGGAGAAGTACGAGACTGTCTTCTCAAGAGCATCGGTAGGAATGTTCTCATCCAGCTATACAGGGTAACATAACAGTTAATAACTTTCAATGACTTCTTTGCAAATTCATAGAACTTAAGTAATTTAACATTATCTGTGAACTACCAATATTACTGTACTGTAGAGTGCACACTTGTAAATACAGCAATCTAAATTAGAATAACTTAAGTTGGACTAACCTAAGTTTGTAGGACAACCTTGAAAACAAATTTTCACTGACCAACTTGTGTTTAATCAGTCTGATGCTCAACCATTATAGAGAGATGATGAGTGTTAGAGAGTGTACAATCATGCTGATTACTTGTATTTTGTGCCTATTTCTAATTATAAATACCATCTAATATTTAAAAATCATCATATGTTGAAGATACAAAATATTATTTCCCCAGTATTTCACATTTCCAGGAAAACCTGGGATAAAAAAAAAACAGCATTGTATGTAATAAAATGCCAATTTCTGGGCAAGCCCCAGTGGCTCCCTAAAGCTACCATCTTCGATGTAGATGCCGTCAGTCACACAGTTCTCTGGCCTACTGGGGGGACGGAGCCAAAACCTGGTTTCCTCACAGAGGTGCAGGGAGCTATGGCATTTATAAATTAAGTTATTCATTTATGCCACCATCAAGGGAAGCACTCAAAAAGTCAGCAAGACAAAACAAACCACAGCTGGCTGCTTCTGATATTTGCACTCATGAAAACGGCCACAGAACTCCCCAAACTTTGTAAATAAATGACAAAAAAAAAATTGTAATCCAGTACCCACTCATTCGCCCTACCCTCCCCCTCGTTTGGGGGTAGAGTGGGGCAGGCCACGGATCACAGGCTGTTCTGTCGTCAGTTCGACAAATGATGTAAGAACCCAACTCCCTGAGGGAGAAAAGATGTCAGGGAACAACCGGGGCTTACCCAGAAATTGGCGTTTCATTGCATTCAATGCTGGTTTCTTGGGGTAAGCCTCTTGTGACTCCCTGAAACTAATTACCCACAGAGAATGAAGAAATGGGCACATATCAGGGAAGAAGAAGCACTGTAGAAATCAAAACAAAGAAAAGATCATCGGTCTAAAAAGCCAACCCAAGGCCACACAGGGGCAACAAGGCTGTCCAAAAGGTTGGCAGCCTGTGTTTAGATCACTGTCTAAACACAGGCTGCCAACACCCTGGATGACCTCCAAAACCCCTACACCTGAAAGAGCCCAGGACAGGTACGTGAGGACATCCATTCCATCTGTATTCAGATGGAATGCATTAGGCAGTGATGTGGAGGAGGCAGATTCCATACACAGTTTCAAATGTAGATATGATAGAGCCCAGTAGGCTCAGGAATCTGTACACCAGTTGATTGACAGTTGAAAGGCTGGATCAAAGAGCCAGAGCTCAAACCCGGCAAGCACAACTAGGTGAGTATAACTTGAGTACAGCCGAAAAACTGTAAACCCCAAACTACACGGGCGCAAGGAAACACCGCAGGCTGGCAATCAAGGAAAACACTACAGGCAACCCAAAAAGAAAAACCCTGGAACTGGGGACCCAGGAGAACAGAGCAACCCATAAGGCAGTCACGAAGGCAGATCTGGTGGCACAAAGGGCATGGCAGAAACCGCCACCTGAGAATAGGAGAAGCTCCCCTGTCAGCAACAACAAATCCCAAAGATGCAAGAACTGTTCTGGAGGCCAACCAAACTCAGCCACAAAAGAATGGGCTGGCAGCAACAAGGAAACAGCCTAACAGAGTGAAAGGCCAAGAACTGAAGCCAGAGGAAAGCACCTAGCTCAGGAACCAGAAATAAAGCCGAATGGAAGGGAAAACAAACACTAAGCGGAAAAAAGAGACAAGAAATGTGGGACAGAGACCATGCCAGCCTAGGTAGCACAATGTTGGCTGGAGGTGAACAGCACCCATAGCGGCCTGCAAAACATGCAAAGAATGTAAATGAACAAATCCACAAGGGCCGTGACGAGGATTCGAACCTGCATCCGAGAGCATGTCAGACACTGCTTTAATCGACTGAGCTACGACATGGTAAAAGGAGTTGAAACCAAAGTTACCATGTCGTAGCTCAGTCGATTAAGGCAGCGTCTGGGATGCTCTCAGACGCAGGTTCGAATCCTCGTCACGGCATTTGTGGATTTGTTCATTTCATGCATCACGCAATTGTGATTTCTGTGTGTAATGCAAAGAAAGTGTTGAGCCTAAACGCAAACTGCAGGGGCCCCACCAGCACTGAAGGAACAAAGAAAATGAGGCGGCAGAGGAACCATAAGATGCTGAACAAGAGAAGGTAAAAGAGAAAAGAGAAGGAACCAGAAACAAAAGACAGCAAACAGGAAGAAAGAGTGGCGAACCACCTGAGTGTGTTAACCTCGGTGTGTCTTAGGTTACGCAACCCCCCAGTGTGTCCCGCCAGTCAAAATTTGCTGCTGGCATCAGAGTCAACAGAAAGCCAAAACCAAATGGACTTGCCTAGGGCGAAGACCACCACAAGCGATTAAACCCTCTAAGAGAGTGAACCCCAAACCCTCCAGAAAAGAGAATCTTGACAATGCAAGGGCAGTGCTAGGATAGCACACAGGGAAGCTGGCTCCAGGGTTCCTGACTCACACAGCAAATGTGTGCTGAAACAGTCACAAAGGCAAAAAAAACTTTTGAGGCATTTTATATGTGGTTTCTACTTTGATGTTTTTGTTTTTATCTTAGTACAGTAATTGGAACTTATCCTCATTAACACTTGAATAGTGCCTGGCTATTTAGCATGTGTCACTCACAGGCACATAAAAAAAAAAAAAAATTCTTCTAAACCTGTTAATTTGTGTTCACTGATCATGTGAAAAATAATAAAAAAATCGTAAGTGGCATATATTGCCCGCTATAGGGCGGGGGAAGTCTGGCAAAAAACAGGCGCTGACTCAGCGTGCGTCCTAGGCGGTCTGTTGCTCGCCAGCTGTCAGGCCGGAGTTGCCACAAAGAGATAATTACCTAATTATTTCAATGTCTCTGATATATAAGGTGATATACGTATCTACATTTGTGTTCACCATAGCGAACCACTAAGCTGGTATGGTGAGTGCAGTCAATAAAAGGTGGCCACACACAGTCAGAAGACAATGCCACCACCCTCCCTCCCACAGCATTACTCTTCCCTCCATGGAGCACAGCACTAAATATCACCACAATCCTGCTATTATCAGAACTCTGGTCAATTTTATCACAGTCAGGGGTCTTCTGTAATAATATCATCGCTACATAATAGCATGAACAAGTATATTATGGCATTTTTAGGCGATGCTGTGGTCACACGCTGAACAGCAGTGCTGTGAGCTCATGCTGCGTGCGTCAGGCTTGGTAGCTCACTCAATACTGAGGCCCCTAACACCCGGGAATTTGGCCCACGATTTAAAAAAAAAATGACGTCTGTTTACAAGAGCCCTGATGAAGGTATTCACCTAATTGTACTCACCTAATTGTGCTTGCGGGGGTTGAGCTCTGGCTCTTTGGTCCCGCCTCTCAATCGTCAATCAACTGGTGTACAGATTCCTGAGCCTACTGGGCTCTATCATATCTACATTTGAAACTGTGTATGGAGTCAGCCTCCACCACATCACTTCCTAATGCATTCCATTTACTAACTACTCTGACACTGAAAAAGTTCTTTCTAACGTCTCTGTGGCTCATTTGGGTACTCAGCTTCCACCTGTGTCCCCTTGTTCGCGTCCCACCAGTGTTGAATAGTTCATCCTTGTTTACCCGGTCGATTCCCCTGAGGATTTTGTAGGTTGTGATCATGTCCCCCCTTACTCTTCTGTCTTCCAGTGTCGTAAGGTGCATTTCCCGCAGCCTTTCCTCATAACTCATGCCTCTTAGTTCTGGGACTAGTCTAATAGCATACCTTTGGACTTTTTCCAGCTTCGTCTTGTGCTTGACAAGGTACGGGCTCCATGCTGGGGCCGCATACTCCAGGATTGGTCTTACATATGTGGTGTACAAGATTCTGAATGATTCCTTACACAGGTTCCTGAACGCCGTTCTGATGTTAGCCAGCCTCGCATATGACGCAGACGTTATTCTCTTTATGTGGGCTTCAGGAGACAGGTTTGGTGTGATATCAACTCCTAGATTCTCTCTGTCTCTTTCATTAAGTACTTCATCTCCTATTCTGTATCCTGTGCCTGGCCTCCTGCTTCCACTGCCTAGTTTCATTACTTTGCATTTACTCGGGTTGAACTTCAACAGCCATTTGTTGGACCATTCACTCAGTCTATCCAGGTCATCTTTGCGAAAAAACGGCCTGTAGTTCAGTGCCTCCTGTCTATCCCCTTTCTTGTATATCGGGACTACGTTAGCTGCTTTCCAAATATCTGGCAGTTCCCCTGTTGCCAGTGATTTGTTATACACTATGGAGAGTGGTAGGCACAGTTCTCTTGCTCCTTCCTTTAGAACCCAAGAGGAGATTTCAATCCTCCTCATAATTTTTGCATCGTCGGCAAACATTGAGAGGAACGAATCTATACCCTCTGGGAGATCATTTACATATACCAGAAACAGTATAGGTCCAAGGACTGACCCCTGCGGGACTCCACTTGTGACGTCTCGCCAATCTGAGACCTCACCCCTCACACAGACTCGTTGTCTCCTGTTGCTTAGGTACTCCTCTATCCACCGGAGTACCTTCCCTTTCACTCCAGCCTGCATCTCCAACTTTCGCACTAGCCTCTTGTGTGGCACTGGCTTTCTGACAATCCAAAAATATGCAGTCTGCCCACCCTTCTCTTTCTTGCCTTATTTTTGTTGCCTGGTCGTAGAATTCAAGTAACCCTGTGAGGCAGGACCTGCCATCCCTGAACCCATGTTGATGCTGTGTTTCAAAGTTCCTTCGCTCCAGATGCTCGACTAGTTTTTTTCGCACAATCTTCTCCATCAGCTTGCATGGTATGCAGGTTAGGGACACTGGCCTGTAGTTCAGTGCCTCCTGTCTATCCCCTTTCTTGTATATCGGGACTACGTTAGCTGTTTTCCAA